AGAAGCCTGATAACGATCCTGATCATTTGAATCAGGTGTGTTGGAAGAGGGAAACATCTAAAACTTGCAGGATTGCGGCCCTCGAGGACCGGAGTTCAAGACCCCTGGTTTAAACTAAGGTAACTTCTGACAAGCTTTCGAAGCTTTTAACTTACGATCCAACAACCCTCTCCCCAGCAGCCTGAGCATGACACTACCACGCTCTCCGTAGTTCCACCATGTTTGCTAGGTGTGATTTATCCTGTCTACCATTCCCTGCAGTAACTTGTTCCCAGCTCCACCACTACAGCCAGTTCTGGTAATGGGATACCAACTCACTTTCCTCCCTTGAACCTTACTGACAACCTTTTCCTACCTCGTCTGACACCAGTATGCCAGTTTCACTCATCTCTATCCTCCACTTCAACAAATTCAGCTCTCATTCTGGCACCGGGATGCCAGTTTCATTAGGCTCTATACCTCATCAACAGTGTGCTATTACACACCTGATGCTGGTACAGGTGTTTGTTCCACCATCATACTCCCTCATTAGTCTTCTGTTTGAAAGTCCAGCATAAGATGCCAGTGGTACATGCCTCCATCGACCATGCCAACACGTCGCTCAGAAGGCATCTGAATCAGGCATCCAAACCACCTCAACTGGCTCCATTTGATGCGAATGAGCAGCAACTGCAAGCTCCCTCTGGATGTTGAGCTCCTCACCCTATCTTAAAGGCCATGTCAAGCCAACCTCTGGAGGAAACTCATTTCAGCCGATTGTATCCGCAATTTCATTCTTCTGTCACTACGTAGAGCTCATGATCATAGGTTAGGTAGGGTAGGAACGTAGACTGACCAGTAAATCAAGAGCTTTGCCTTTCACCTCAGTTCATTCCTTGTCACAGCGATCCAGTAAAGTGCCTGCTGATGCTGCACTAAGCCACCTGTCCATCTCATGCTCCATTCTCCTGTTGATTGTGAACAAGGTCCTGAGCAGCAGTCAGCCCTCCTGCAGCACCTCTGATGCCTGGTCTATTCACTCAAATAAACCAGTCAAGTGGGCAACCCAATGGCCATCATGTATTTCAAAGTAGATTCTACTGTCCATCGTTTTTGGTAAAGTTAATACTTAGGTTGGAAAAACTGGAAACTTCAAGCTGACTTGTCTTAAAATTACGTTGCAGTTATGCAGGGGTGTCCAATCCTGGTCCT